TTGGTTTTATAGGGTTCTAGATAGGTGTCCCCAATTAGTTTATTTTGTAATAAGCTAGAACGTTGATTGATTGATTGATTGGCTGGAATTTTCTTAGTTTATTTTGTAATAAGCTAGAACGACATGACACAGTAATAAAGTTTATTATTATTATTATTATTTGTTGTTTGTTATCATAAATTGATGAATAAACTAAAACTCAATGATTTGTATTGGTCTGTATTGTTTATTTGAATGTTTGATAACAAGTATTTTACTCTTTCTCAGTACATCGCTTGTGGACAAATACAGCTTTTCCAGCCAAACTTTTAATTTAAGTAGCGATGACGAAAATGTTTAATATTGTTATTACTGTAGTAAATGATAAATAAAGATTTTACACTCCAACGTTTTCCTTCGTATTTGAATAATTAGGTAGAACTTCTATGTCTTATTGTTTGTGTTTATGAGTCATTAATTGTATTGTGTTGGATACAATAGTCACTAAATTGTAATTCATAAAATGAGACTTACGCTTAGTTGATTGCTGAACTTTGGTGTTTGTTCTTAAAAGAATTATGGAAGGATATTATCAAGAATTTGCTCAAAAAAACAATTGATGTGCCCATCACTGGCCCATCCAAAATGTGACGCAACTCGCATACAAAGCACTCTGCTCGTCATTTTATGGTAATGGTTAATAAACAATTGATGTGTTCGTCTCCTTATTGATGAATAATTGATGTGCTCGTCCTGCTCGTTCAAAACGCTTGCCTAACAATACTCTTCCCGTCGATTTATGCTAATATTTGATGAACAATTAATGTCCCCTTCCTCCCCCCTCCCCTTCCCCGTCCAAAATCCGGATCGTGAGGTCCCTACACTTACTACTCACGTGTGTGTTAGTAGGGTGTTGATGATAGGTTGTATAGGTTGTAGCTGGATGGATATAAGATGTCGGGGGTTTATGATTATGGCTTCCTTACGGTGCACGTGTGTGAGTGTTGACGAGAGGTTGTGGTTAAGTACCTGTAGGTCTCGTTGGAAGTTGTTGGATGTAGATGGGTATAGGTGACCAGTGTAGTCTGATTGAATATCGTTACCATGACGTATAAAACTGTTTATTTCCTTAATTAAGAGCACGTGCACGGAAACGAAGTCACAGTTTTACGAGACAAGAAAACCAAAGAAAGATTTAAATTTAACGTTTATCAAGATGAATCAAAGAACCAAGAAAGATACGTAAAGCTGGGAGAGGTAGGGGAAAATAGAAAAATAATATTATATATCATTTCCTGCTAAATGGCTTGTAATGATGACTTAAAGTGCATATAAACCTTACGGGATGCATGCCTTCGTGATTTGAAAACCCTTATAAAATAAATAAGAATGGTGTTTACTATCCTTCGATATATCTTTTCGTTGCTGAGATATTCAATATAGGAATTACAAAGCGACGGGGAGATTTTAAACGGTCAAATCATTAAATAGAGAATATCTCTACGAGAATTAGCCCAAAATGGCTCAAGCTGTTTGGTTACAGTGCAGAGTAAAACAATCAATTTCGTATGTTTGATGGTGTTGCCATGGAAACCTTTGGGAGCTAACCGCCTTCCAACAAAATCTGACTTAAATTCGAAAATTTATCTTTTTTCCTATACTGTTGGGTTACTTGTGGATTTGGCCCTCAGGATAAAGCCAATTATAGACCGGTCACTATATTAACAGTTGTTGACAAAATCTTTGAACAGATTATTGGGAAACAGCTGGGGGGCAAGTTTGAGAACATCTTCGACCCATTTATGTCTGCCTTCAGAAGGCTTTACAGTTGTAAAACCACACTCATACGTCTTGTCGAGGACTGGAGAAAAGTGATGGACGATGGACATACGACAGCGATTCTTTGTACGGATTTGAGTAAAGCGTTCGACTCCCTACATTCCACGCTTATGATCGCCAAGTTGGTTCAGCGAGCAAGCTCTTAGCCTGATGAGATCATACTTCACCGAACGCAAAAACAGTACTAAACTAGGTAATGTTACCAGTAGATGGGAGGAGGTGACGAGGGGCTAAATGACCTATTCTATATGGACCGGGAAAGCCAGCTGTCTGCATATGCTGACGACCATCAGTTGTACTACAGACATAGTATCGCAGAGAAAACCTTAGAACAATTAAAAATGGACGGTGAAAGAACTTCAGATTGATGCAAAGACAACTTCCTGGATGGTAACCTTTCCAAATATTAAACCAAGGTCATATTAAGAAAGACAAGGCCTTCTGGTGAGGATGCCGTGATGATCGATGGAGTTAAAATTAAGACCACGGAAGTTGCTAGGCGTCATGATCGACCAGAAGCTAACATTTTCGGAGCACATCTCTACAGCATGCAAAAGAGCGAGCTCACGCGTAGAGGTTCTAATGCGCCTTCGCAAGCTGATTTCAGTTACGGCTAAGCTGAGAACATTTAAAGCTGCTATCCTGCTATACTTAACCTACTGTGGTCTAACATGGCACTTCTGCAGAAAGACGGACAGTAATAAACTAGAACGAGTAAATGAGAGGGGGCTGATAGTAGTACATATTAATGACTGGAGTTCACCGTATCGCGAACTACTTATCAGAGCTAAAATGACCACACTATATAATCGCAGACTACAAGATTTAGCAATTCTAATGTTTAAAATAAAACATGGGCTTGTGCCAGAAAACAGAACAGGGAATACAAAACATTATAATCTGCGAAACTCTGACTTCTCACTACCAAGAATAAACACTACTTACTACGGAAAGCACCCATTACGCTACCTGGGGCCACACCTATGGGCAAAACTTCCATTAGGTATAAGAGAATGTACTACCATTAACTCATTCCAAAATGCTATACGTAAAATAGATGTGAGTAGTCTACTGGACAAGACCTGCCCGAGTGGCTGCTTTCTGTGTAGTACGTAATTACTCTACTTTATCTTTACTTTAAATTTTGATTAACCATTTTCCATTTTGGAATATAATAATATAAAGATCCTTATAGAATCACTTTTATTAGCGTATAAGCGTATATTTTTTATTGATAATATAAATATCATTTTATCGTTTTCTACAGATTTTATAACTAGTCTCTATCAATATATATATCATATGATATACACACAATTCAAGCATCACAGAATATTCGAATAAATACTCTATTTCATCTTTACTTTAAATTTTAATTAACTTATTTATTTACTTATTCCAATTTGAAATATATGTCGTGTTTAAAAAACGAGTAGGAGTGTTTTATGTAATGTTTAATAAACGAGCAGGAGTGTTTTATCGGGTATAAAACACGAGGCGCAGCGGAGTGGTTTTAGACCCGGTAAAACACGATCTGCGAGATTATTGAACGGCTTAGAAAACTCATGATGTTTATTCTCATAGTGTACCGATTTCTTTACGAAATGAACCAAGTTTGATAGAGAAAATCCAAGTTAAAGTTTATGCAAATGAGACGAATCTATATCCGATATAAAATCACCTTCATGGTCATGATTTCTATTGTGTTTTCCTCATGAATTATTAATGAGTTTTCTAACAGGTGTAATATACCTGATAAAACACGATCTAAGAGTTTTTTGAACAGCTTAAAACACTCATGAACAATTTATAAGATTTTGGTTCAACTGAAGCCACCATACACGACACGAACATGGATTTTTATACCAGATTCAATAGAAGCTCCCACACGTTGGATATTGCGTGCCAAGGAGATCATTAGGGTTGACTATGACCTTGATGAAGCTTTATGTAATATATACAGTATGAGTGGCCGTGTTGTATCAGATATACAACCACGAGGCGTAGCCGAGTGATTGTATATCTGATACAACACGGACACGAATACTGTATATGACTTATCAAACGTCTAGGTTAGTTCCTTTTTGTTTCACTAAAATTTTCAAAATTAAAGTGAATTTGGCCAAGAAAATCCAACTTAAAGTTTATGCAAATGAACACAGTTTTGTATCAGATTTACAACACTCTTCACGGTCATGATTTCTGTTGCGTTTTCCTCATGAATTATTAATGAGTTTGATAAGTCTTCATCTAAACTTGGATGCATACTTCATCACTGATGAAGTCATCCTCATAGTATTGGAGTGGTCTTTATATAAAGATCACATGTGTCTTTATATAAAGACACATGTGTCTATATAAAATCACTTGAATACTAATGAAGAGGACTTTATCGGGTATAAAGGTTCATKCHYGTGACGTGTATGGTGGCTCSAATTGGACCATAAGCTTATGAATTATTAATGAGTGTTTTAAAATTCTTTAGAAAACTCATTAATAATTCATGAAGRAAACACAATAGAAATCATGACCATGAAGGTGATTTTATATCTGATAAAGATTCGTCTTCATTTGCATAAACTTTAACTTGGATTTTCTCTATCAAACTTGGTTCATTTCGTAAACAATTCTGTACACAATGAGAACAAACATCATAAGTTTTCTAAGCCGTTCAATAATCTCGCAGATCGTGGTTTATCGGGTCTAAAACCACTCGGCTGCGCCTCGTGTTTTATACCCGATAAAACACTCCTGCTCGTTTATTAAACATTACATAATATCTTTACTTTAAATTTTAATTAACCATGATTTATTTACTATTCCATTTTGGAATATAATTCTAAAATCATTATAGGACCACCTCTATAAGGGTATTAGTATAAACTTTTATCAATATTTCAACATAGCATTATATCGATTTCTATAGATTCTATAATTAGTTAATATATATATCATATAATATATACATAATTCAAGTGCCATAGAATATTCGTAATCAGTAACCGGCTTAGTGTATTATTGTAATTCGTGTAATTAATTAGGTGTCCCCGATTAGTATGCTCACTTGTGGCAAGCTAGTAGAACGACACATTAATAAAGTGATTGATTGATTGATTGATTGATTGGCTGGAATTTTCGCGCCGAAACGCGTGTGCTCCCCTCTCCAACGCTACTGCTTGAGCTTGCTTGATATCACAACACTTTGTTGTTCAATTATTCAAAGTTTCAGCCGGTTGGATTTGGAGCTTTTCAACTGTTGTTGTTACTGTTTAATCATGTTAGTTTTCACATAATTTATGGATAAATGATTTAAGGATTTATTTTTCAGGCCGTTAAAAATTACGTGCATGATGTGTGCCTTTCTGGGAATTTGAAGCTTTCAAAAATTGCAATTCCGGTAAGAAGGTGACTAAGTATCTATATTATTCCAGTTCAGGCTAAGGCTCTGTTAATACATGGATCTTTTAATGACAAAGACCAACCGGCCGAATGACTAACAAATCAAGAATCTACTTCTGGTTTTGTAATGGCCTATTTTCTTTGTTCTTTACCTGAGGTAGTTTACGATCATTCCCAAGCTAGAGAACGTTTTCTTTTTTCAACGTACGTACGTTTTTATTATGTCTCTTCTTCCAGGTCGATGCCGGAAAAAAGGAACCCCAAGGGTTTTACTTCATAAGCGAATATGCTCTTTATTTTAAAAAGCTGATTATTCTTATGCATGGTGGTGGTGCAGTACGTGCTGGCCAGTGGTCAAGAAGGTTTGTTAACTGGCTGACGCGTGGCTCGATCGCCGCTGATGAAAGTTGTTCATTTTGTAAAACTAAATCATCCAAATCTGATACATATTTAACTTGCCATCATAAAATTAACATAAAGATAGGTTTTTGTTCACTTGTGCTCTTCGAACCCTCCCCATGCATCCTTGCACTGGAGATTTCACTTTATTCAAGAGGTACATTAGTAAATGAAAATCGATTTATATGACATCCTTATTTTCTGTACCAGTGTTAAAAGGCACTTGAAATACAATATGAAGTCTTACATGCTCCAAGACAAGTCTTAGGCATTTATTTCACTTTTTTCCATTTTTTATTTAGCTTAATCATCAATGAAAATCTTGAAAGCGGGACAATGATGCCATATATAGAGAAAGCACTCGAGGTAACGTAGTCTGTTCTATTTTTATCCAAATTTTGGAGAAAACGTTTTTTAAAGTGAGGTGTACCCAAAGAGCTCACCTCGTCGGTCGACAACAACGTTCTCGGTCGTTCCGCACGGTTAAGATCGGGAGAATATTTGCATAACGACATTTTCAATGTCATTGTGTTTATGCAAATATTCTGCCGAACCTGTCCCGAAGTTAGCATTGTGGAATGCCCGAGAGCGTTGTTGTCGACCGATATTGAATTTATTATTTCTAGCGGGGTGAGCTCTTTAAGTACACCTCACTTTAAAAAATGTTTTCTCCAAAATTTGGATAGGACGAGCTGTAGAAATTTCACTACCATTTAGATGAAGCTCTGGTCTATTGATGTAGGTGGTTTAAAGAAAAAACTTGGGGCCGTTTTGAAGAAAAAGGCGAAAATGTGATTTTTAGCAAAACTCTTATTTTTGAGGTTTACAACGACAATTAGTAAAAGAGTTTTTAAGATTTGATGCTGATTTTTCGTAAGGCTCATCCACAATACTTGGAAATAGGTATGTGGAATCCATTCAATAGTAATGTTTCTACAGCGCGATGTCTTATATGCTTCAAATTTTGGATCGAATTTTCAAGCGGCGTCATAACTTTTTTTCTGCCCAAGACTTTCCATCCAAATTTATACAAAGCCTGCAATAGTACTAGATGATAAGATTCTGAAAATTTCAGAAAAATCGTACCTGGGGATGAGGAGGAAAAAGCCAAAAACTAAAAATAGCACTGTTTGATTTTCGGCCGTAATAAGCTAAACATTTAAAAAATCTCCATAAAATACACTGTTAGAATCTAGGATAATCCAAGCACATTATATGAAAAATACAATTAAATTGACGCAATAGTTTTGCGAAGGGAGCAAGAACAAAATTGTCCAAAATTCGCTCTGAATTAGTTTAGTTCCACCTTAATCTGGTCTAATCTGATTTACACTGAGAATGGATATAGTTTCCTAGGGGGAAAAAAGAATCTATTGTAGTACCTCCAGTCATGACTGCCATTACGTGAGAGCCATATTGGTATACCAAACAACAGAAACTATCTGCACAGTTTTTGCATAAATATAGAGTTCAGTTATTGTGTAATTGAATTCTTTTAGTTCATTTTATATCTGTATATTTTATTACAGGAAGGCTTTGGTGTAATTCTTACCAATGGCAACCATAATATGGACTCTAACGATAGACCTATTCAGGTACAGGATTTGTTTGTAGAGTTTTTCCTTCCTTCTCTCAAATCAACCCTAAGTAATTCAAACTTGTTAGAGCTGTGCTCCGGGGTTATACATGGAATGTATAACGGGTGCCAGATGCGCCTTCACATGCTTTCGGTTTGACCAACACTTAGTTTGACCCCGTTGAGCTGCCCCGGCTTCGCCCCCAGTCCCCCTTCCCCCTCCGCTGTGCTTTGCAGTGGTGATTATATTAGCGATGACATTTTTTTATTTATTTTTATTAGCAGTAAAGAATATGCGAGTGCTGCTCTTTAAATAGTCAAACGATTCTTGATAAACTATAGGTTCTTTAATTGACTGCTTCGGCTTTGAATTTTCATGATCAGGGTAGCGAATCCGCCCAGGATCACTTTGTTTATGTCTGGAACAAATTCATCAAGGACGCCAAGGCCGAGCACATCGTGATTGTTGCACATAGTTTGGGTGGAGAAGTAGTTCTTCATGGCGTAAGTATGCTTTCTGTTGTTTTATTTAGTGATCTGCCGTATAAAAAAACATAAACTAACATAGAACGAGCGGAATCGTCACGGTGTTTCTTCGTCGCGACGAAGTAGGTTTTGGTAGACGTCAATCAAGTTGTTTCCATGACATTCCATACGCACGTGCACTAGAAAAGTTTGTGTTTTTCGACATTGTTATGGATCCACCATCCACCATCCCTTACCGGCTGAGTGGTGAATTTTGTTTCAGCAAATCATAGCGCGTTTAGCTGTTTTGCCAGGCCCTCATTCCTAGGCTACTGTAGTCCAACTTTTGCTTATTTTTCGTTTTTCTTTTATCTAAAACATAATAAACGTGCCTACCACAAGCAGAAATATGGAAAGGAAGAATAAAAAAACACTTTCACTTTACAGCCATGCTTGCTTCGTTCTTTCATGCTTAGGGCTGGTCATTTTGTCCACTCATGCTTTGCGCGCCCCGTTCACCGCTCAGCTGGTATGGTAAATTACTAGTCTACCCCATTGAGGGAGTGAGCGTTTCGTGACGACACTAAGAACGGCTGCGGGGGAGACTTGCAAATTGCACGATTTCGCACAAGTTGAGAACGACTGTAGTACAAATCAGTGCATTGGTAAAAGATATTTATAATGCACATTTTCTTTGTAGCTAAGGGAAATTGATGAAGCAAGGAGGCGGATCAATGCAGTGGCATTCACTCACTCTACACACACCACCATCAAGGAATCAACAGAAATTAAAAGATGGCTCAAAGAGGTTAGTTGTCTTAATGCCTCCTCTATCTTCTCACCTACACCCCTAGTCCAATCGTATATTCAGTTTTAATATTACTTATTGACAACAATTAATATTATCATTTAGCTTTCTGATGATTGATAAACTGATAGTTCGGTGATATCAAAACTATTGTTATCTTACGCCGGGACACGATTTACTTAGAGGGGAGGTGTGGGGATATTAAGTACCTACCACCTCTGCTCTTGAAATGAAATCCTCGATTATTTGCTCACATATCTACAAAACAAAAATTATAATCGCGTAACGAAATGAATGTACTGCTTGTTTGCATGTGTTCCAAACAGCCTCGGCATTACGACAGACAGACAGACAGACATATCTTATTTGGCGTTTTGTACAAAGTTGCACATCAACTTAGATCCAAATAAGTTA